TCCCTGAACATCTTCCCCAGGGAAGGAGGAGAACATGTGCCAAGGGTAAAGCCTGGGAGGCTGACTGCTGAGAAACAGATCTGAGACATGGCTCCTGGAAATTTCCTAGACAAGACAAGGAGGGAATGGAGCGGGCATTTCTCACTGTATCAGAATCTCTCGGAGGGCAAGGGCTGCCTTACTTGCCACTATCTCTGGGATCTGGAGTGGTCCTGGCCACAGGAGGCACTGTACGAACACCTGCTGGCTTTCCTCAATAAAATCTAACCTCTAAGACTGGTAGTGGAAGGAGACTGCCTGCTTGGGGGGGAACCTAGATCTTGGATCCTCATATCTACTCCCCAAGATTCATTCTCCTGTGGGAATGCTGACCAATCACCACCTCTACCAAGTACAGGGAAACTGGCAGCCCCTTCCCAGGTGACAATGGTCCTTGCACCAATGACCTTGAAGAATAGGGTGTGATTTAATTAAGGGCACCAGTAGGTTTCCTCACAGGCACCCAAAATCTGCTTAATGGCATTGCTTAATGAGCATCCATGGATGGTTCAGGGCAATCATTCGTGGAGTGTCCCCACCCACTGGCTATCCTAAGTTCAAAGGAGCAGCCTTCACTAGCCAACCAAGTAATTCTCTGAGCAAAGATAATTCTAGAAACTAGTTATATGTAACATACGATTCCTACTGCATAATAGATTCTAAACATTCACACACAGTGAAATAGATGAAGTCGAGTGTGAAGTATAACATATGAACTGATTTTCCATTAAAGAACTCAGGCATAACTGCGTGGAAAACAGATTTATGCCGGGGAAGAGGCATTCCTCGTAGAAGGTAAAATCAAGTGGACTCTGACAAGGAAGGGCTTTAAGTGTTAAACTTCCAGAGCCGAAATAAAGGCCAAATCACTAATTTCACACTTCAAGTTTATGAAGGGGAAAAAGAAATACTAGAGGTATTCTCTGAAAATAGATATCTTTCTTCTCTCCTTCCTTAATGGAATTGTATGAAGTATCCTATCAATCACACCGGGAACTCTACATTACAAACGTGGGAGCTGACACTAATACAACGCACCTATGGAAGGAGACACCAGTGTAGTGAGGGTCACTCCATCTGTAACAGCCCCCAGAGGCCAGGGTCAAGATCTATATTCAAATCCTGTATAGTATTGGTGGTATCGTGGTGAGCATAGTCAACTTTCAAGTGTCGTCACTTATTAGTTGTGTGACCTTTGGCAAGGTTGTGTTTCTTTGCCTGAGTCTGCTCATCTTTAATATGGGGATAATGAACAATCCCAAATGTCCATTGCCAGGCGAACAGATAACCAAAATGTGGTATGTCCATACACTGGAATATTATTCATCAATAAATGTAACAGGCTAACAATACACACAACAACCTAGATAAACTCAAAATGATTACAGTGAGTGAATAAAGCCAGACACAACAGCATATGTACTTATGATTCACCTTACGTAAAACTCCAGTAAATGCAAACCGCTCTATGGAGGCAAAAAACAAGTCAGTAGTCGCCAGGAGATGAGGAAGGGTGGACTGGAAAGGGGCATGAGAAATTCTGGAGAGCGCTGGAAACGTCCCATCTTTGATTGTGGCGGTGTTTTCATGGGGGCATATACACCTGTCGGAACTCAAAGTGTGCATTTTAAATGGATTCTGTTTCTTGTACGTACATTAGACCTCAATGAAGGTGATTTTTAGAAACTTTCTCCCGGGTTTGTTTCGAGAATTAAATGAGTTTGGTAATGAGCGGTGATGGCAGCGATACTGGGGGATAAGGGACAGGAGAGCAGAGTGCTCTCTCGTGAGTCAGACAACCAGAGCTCCTCTTGGGGTCCTGCTGTTTTGTATGACGATCCCTGAGCTTCGGTGCTGTAACGTGTGAAGTGAATGCCAGGCTCGGACGAGACGGCCTGCAGAGGTGACCCAAGCTGTAATCGTGCACTTCCAATGTGATGGCGCCTCAGTGACAGCCAGCACGACTTTCTAATAACACGCATGTATCACGTGTGTCCACTTCAGGATCCGGGGGAAAGAATGCTGTACTGTTTAATAGGTACTCCTTGAAATGTAGCATTTTTACACATTGAAAAAAAATGGAGAAAGGAGAATTTCAGAAGCCCTTTGAAGGGAGGTAGAAAGAGGTTTAAGGTAGGGTGGGGGTGGGGGGGTCCAGAAAAAGATACCAGTTGAGTAAACCTTCTGTAGACCATGAACTTAACGAGCACCTCAGAGTTAGCAGCATTGTAACGTCCACGCACACTGCTGTTCGCCCACCCACCAGCCTTGTCAAAGTCCGGCAGGGCCCCTGCGTCCCTGAGTCCTTTGGCATATCCCCGGATCACCCTGCCGTCCAGGCAGATCAAAGGTGTAGCCAGCAGCCACCAATCACGGAGCCCCCCCCAGTGCAGCACTGACAACGCAGGTACTTGTGGGGGATGACACTTGGGGGACAGAAACGCAGGGGACCTTTTTTAACAGGGGCACTGGGGATTATTAGTGGGTGGACGAGCTTGGCAGCGACACGGAGTTTAGTGAGGAGAGCGAGGGAAGGAGATCTGGTGAAAAAGAAATGAGCTTGTCAATAAGAGATAATAGAAAAAGCAGAGTCAAATGCTTAAGAGTGATGAAGCCATGCTCTAAATCTTAGAGTGGAAGCTAAATTCCTGACCTCCAGTGACTACCTTTTTACCTTAAAACCCCTTTGGCATGAGATGAGGCAGAAGTACCCTTTCATACTTCCTGTCCATTCCTGTCCTCAATCCTGACTTAGGAAGTGCTACAGCAGGCCTGACGGACTTTGGTGTGCAAAATACTCATCCAGGGAGTGTAGTTACATTAATACAGATCTATGGGCCCCAACCCCACCTTCTGATGACTGGAGGCCTGGGAATGTACACTTGAACCATTATCCCAGGATGGGTCACGTGTCCCACAGGCCCCCAATCCCGTGAGGCGGGTAGTAATCTAAGCCTTCTGGATTTAATGCTCCCTTTCACTTTGTGGTCACATGCAAAGGTTAGTTACGGAAAGCGCTGGGGCCCCACCTGTAGCCGTGTGAGAATAACCAGCCAGGAACAACACTGGACACTGGAAATGATACAAGATACAACTGTGTGCAGACTGCGCACAGTAGGAAGTGCAGGGCAGTGATCCCTGAGAAGGGGAATGTGTGGGCCTTACCATTTACCCTGGCTTCCTGCCTGGATGTATTATTTCCTGGACTCTGGCCCAGGGAGGGGGATTACCAGGTGGGGCGTGGAGATCTTGTGGAGGAGCCAGAAGTCAAAGTTTAGGTAGGTGAGGGTGACTGGAACCAGAGAAGCAGAGGATGAGAGAGAGGAGCTACGCAGCAGAAGGCCGCAGCAATCTAGACTGACTGCCCTCTAAGCTGTGCGTGTATATGGTCAAGTTCCGCACGGCTGGACAGCAGATCACTACCAAGAAAGTGTGAGGGATACAATCCCACAGGGAACCGGAGAGGCTGAGCTCCTTCCAGGCAGAGCGGACAGTCCCGGCTGAACCACCAGGCAGGGACGCTGAGGATCTTAATGTTTAACTTAACTCTATGGAAAAAAAGAGAGAGCAAGAAAGAGAGAATATTCTGTTTCTTTTTCTTCTCCACGTAAATTTTAGAATTAGTTTGTCAATATCCAGAAAATAACTTGCTGGGAGTTTGATTAGGACTGCACTGAGTTTATAGTTGTTAAGAACTGACATTTTGACAATACTGTCTCTAACAATTTTTTTAAGTTTATTTATTTTGACAAAGAGAGAATGAGAGAAAGCAGAGTAGCGGCAGAGAGAGAGAGAGAGAGAGAGAGAGAGAGAGAGAGAATCCCAAGCAGCCTCCCCACTGTCGACAGAGCCTGATGTGGGGCTCAAACTCATGAACCATGAGATTATGACCTGAGCCGAAGTCAAGAGTTGGATGCTTAACTGACTGAGCCACCCAGATGCCCCTAAAACTTTAAAGTATTAAAAAAATAAAGTTAGCTGTAGACTTGCCCTAATAAAGCTTAAAAACAATTCTCAAAATGACCAAGTTGACTAACAAATATCTTAACTATCTCTTAAAACAGATACAACTGTCTCCTAAAACAGAAACAAGATCCAGACACTCAACATAGCAACATATGTAATGACCGGCATCCAATCAAAAACTACTAATCATGTGAAGAAGCAGAAAAACATGTCTTGTACCCAGAAGAAAAATCAATCAATAGGAAGAAACACAGGAAACACAGAGATGATAGAATTAGCAGAAAAGGACTTCAAAACAGCTATTACATATAAAGGCTACTGTCAAGGATGAAGCAAAACATAATCAAAATAAGGAGATAAATGGAAGCCACAGAACTGAATGGAGCTTCTAGAGCTGAGAAATACAATATCTGAAGGAACGAATTTACTGAATGGTCTTAATGTCAGATCAGACACCCTAGAAGAAAAGAGTAGCTACATAGCGGTAGAAACTCTCTAGACCACAGAGTTTAGACCAAACTGGAGAAAAACCTTACTTAACCTCTCTGTACTTTAGTTTCCTCATCTGTAAGACGGGGAGAACAGTAGCATCTCATGGGGTCGCTGTGATGATTACATGCTCTAACACATATCAACTGGTGGAACGGCACCTGGTAGAATAAACACCTGATGAACACTAGCTATTATTGCTGTGGTCGTTGGCCCCAGAAGTTGGGCCAGTCCGCAGTGGGAGCACCCGGGAGAAACATCTGCGTCCGAGAGGCAGCGGGGAGGGGAGGGGAGACACGTGAGAGCAGAGCTGTGGAGGGGAAACCTCGGGGCGAGGAGCTCCAGGCAGAGGGGGCCGCACTCTCCCAAGGCACGGGGACGCAGTGCCACGGGGACGCGGTGCCACGGGGACGCGGTGCCACAGGGTCGCTGCGGCCCAGGAAATGCTCTGGGGGCTGCGGAGCCTCTCTGGAAGCTTTTTCTGATTTCCTCCAAAGGCATCTTACCTCCTCCGTCATCTGATCCGTCCAAGCTCTGCTGTCTGAGGCGGTGACTGCCCCCAAAAAGAAGGAAAGAAGAAAATCAGTTTCAGACACAGAAAGAAACCACCCAAACGGCCACTGTATGCGTCCTTTCTCCTAGATGAAAGCGTCTCTGGACCCTCTTTCCTCCATCAACTTGGTCAGACCGAATTAGGCAACCTGGTCTGCCACGTGCGGCCAGATAAGCCGTGCACAAGCCGTGCAGTGCCCCATCCCACAGACCATGATATGGATGCTCCTCTCACCCCCGGGGGGGACCAACGTCCAGTGGCTCGGCCTGCACACTCTGTCTTTGCCTAGAAACCTTCTTTCTCCCTCTTTGATAGAGGTCTGAGGACAAGGCTGGGTTCAGGAAGCTGTTGTTGCTTCTGCCCCCCTGTATCAATAAGCAGAACCCATGGGTCAGCACTCTGCTACCTGCACACCTAATTCTAAAAACCACAAGGTGGGAGGGGGACATGGGCATCAATACCAGGAAGGTCAAGACCCCCGGCCAAGGAAACAGAGTTAACTGAACACTTGACTCAACGTGCATAACTAAAGGGGCAGACTGCAGCCAGATTTGTTCTATTTTTTAATGTTAAGTCCAGCACAGGCCGGACAGATGATGACCACCAAGACTGAACGGCTTGCAAAGGTCCCCAAATGATGCCACAAGAATGCTGGAGACATACTCTTCTATTTCTTCAGAAGCCCGCCTTCCTGACCTGAAAAACAGAAAAACAGGGTTTGTGAGAACCACTAGACTCACGCGCTGGTGGGGTACGTAAGAGACGGGGTTTCAACGTGAGGGCAAATTACCATATTCCAAGTGCTTTATTTACCTGTACTTCTCTTTCTATAACAAGGCCCATAACCCACACGAGAGAATTACTGACACTGGAATGTTTCTCTACAGGGGAGGAGCAGAGAGAGAGGGAAAGAGAGAATCCCAAGCAGGCTCCACACGGTCAGCACAGAGCCCGACACAGGGTTCAAACCCACACACCATAAGATTATGACCTGAGCCAAAATCAAGAGTCAGGCACTCAACTGACTGAGCCACATAGGCACCGCTGTAATGCCTAAGCTTATTTCAGCATAATTCCAACTGAAATCGTTGAGTTCAAGGGCAGATTGGGAAGTTCAAAACTCAAAAGGATATAGACAATATGGTACCTCCTTTCAACAATTAATGGACCAATTTATAGAGCACTTTCTTAGGGTTGAGACCTTGAGTCTTATTTGGAGCTTTAGTTGTTAGCGTGTGTAGCTTCCAAGGAGCAAAAAGAGTTGAACTGGCCACACAGATCAAGCCAGAGGCTCTGGGCCTCTCTGTAGCCTCCACTTGAAGAATCAGAAGACCCTGTGAGTGATGTTGGGCAAGCAGTGCCCTTACGACATTCCATGAGGACAGGAGGTGTAAGTACATATAGATGCTTATCTAAGGCTGTGGTTCTCAAACTTCTGCGTGCATAAGAACCGTCTCGAGGGGCGCCTGTATGGCTCAGTCACTTAAGCATTTGACTCTGGATTTTGGCTCAAATCATGATCACAGTTCATGAGATGGAGCTTCATGTCATGCTCCTTGCTGACAGTGCAGAGCCTGCTTGGGAGTTTCTCTCTGCTCTTACCTTGCATGCACACACTCTCTCAAAATAAACTTTTCTTTTTTCTTTTTAAAAACTTTATATATTTTTAATTTCTGAGAGAGAGAGAGACAGCATGAGCAGGGGAGGGTCAGAGAGAGAGACAGACACAGAATCCAAAACAGGCTCCAGGCTCTGAGCTAGCTGTCAGCACAGAGCCTGACGTGGGGCTCAAAACCACGAACCGTGAGATCATGACCTGAGATGAAGTTGGATGCTCAACCGACTGAGCCACCCAGGTGTCCCTAAACTTTTCTTTTTTAAAGAATCATCTGGGAAGCTTATTAGACATGCAGATCACTGGACCTGGCAGAGAGAGCTTTCTGGATCAGCAGCTCTGGGAAAAATGGAGCTCGGGAAGATGCATTTTAAACAAATCCCCAGGTAATCCTAACATAAGCTGATCACTACTGACACTGGGAGAAACACTTATCTAAAGTCTTCTAAATGAGACTGACAAAATGTTGACAATTATTCAAGCTGGGTGTGTGGGTTGGGTACATGTTGATTACTTTTCTGTATGTCTGAAAATTTCCACCATAACAAAGGTTTTGTGTGTGTCTGTATTTGTGTTTTAAATAATTCTTTCAAGTCAGAAATCAACTGGGGAGGCTGGGTGGCTCAGTCGGTTAAGCGTCCAACTTCAGCTCAGGTCACGATGTCACAATTTGTGGGTTCGAGCTCTGCGTCAGACTCTGTGCTGACAGCTAGCTCAGAGCCTGGAGCCTGCTTCAGATTCTGTGTCTCCCTCTCTCTCTGACCCTTCCATGCTCATGCTGTTTCTCTCTCTCTCAGAAATAAATAAAACATTAAAGAAAAAAAAAAAAAGAAGAAAGAAAGAAATCAACCACCATAGTGAGCATAGGCAAAGGGCGGTGGCGAGGTCATAATGGCCAAGAGTCAGCATGCATAAGAAGGCCTTCAACAACGCCTTGCCAGCAGAGCTACATGGGAACGACCCTGCAATTTCCGCAAAATCCAAATGACCCCCACCCCCATCCTGAGCATAATCAGAAATTAAGCCCAACTTTAAGTAGGCTACTTTACATGAAATTCGGACCACCCCAATTGCACTGTTAAGGAAGGAGAAGAGGAGGGAGGGAGAATTTTGGCTTCTGCTGGGAAGAAGAGACGGGTAAGGACTGGAGGGAAGAACTCTAAGGGCATCTCTCAGGTTGTAGTTTTTGACTCTTAAAGAGGAAGTAAAAAGACTAAGCAAGTAGGGAGGGGCAGGAGGGCAAGTGGGGCAGAAAAGGCAGCAGGGAGGCACCAATGGTAAGCTGCAGAGGGGTGCCCAGGGCCTCGTCACCATGGCGCTGGTGGGCGATACTGGTTTCAATACTATCCTGAGTCAAGAAAATCCTAAATGTAGAGCAACTAGCAGCTGCCAAAGCCACCTGTTTGTGTGGGAGGATAGAAGGCTCTACTCTTAGCTCAGGCACATTCCCCGGGACCCCTACCTCTAATTGTTCTGGTGAAACTGAACTTTACAAACCCACCATCCAAATGCCTCAGTAATATGTCACCAACGGTAGAAGGGCTTGGATTATACAGGGTCAGAAAAGAACAACGGATTAAAGAGGTCAGGGAGGCCAGCCGGCACCTGCATTTTGTACATAAGAGACATAGCATCTCCAATTATTCCTAAGAGTTGTGATGACACTGTTCCTTCCTAAGCAATGTGCTATGGCCAAAGTAGCAGTGATTTTGTCTGAAGGAAACAATAATGGTAACACTAATCTTCACAGGAAGGCTGATAAGCTGCCATTTATCCACTCAACATCCAAAAACAGGGAGGAGTTTCACATTCAGTGTAATTGCTGCTGAGTTCACATCCTACTCTCTCTCACTGCAGGGGGAGCCCAAGGACCCTTTCAAATCTCATTTCACCCCAAGAGAAGGAACAAGATCAAAATGGAGCCCTCAAGGGATGTCTGGGTGGCTTAGCTGGATAAGTATCCGACTCTTGATTTCAGCTCAGATCATGATCTCATGGTTCATGAGTTTGAGCCCACATCAGACTCTGTGCTAACAGCGAGGAGTCTCCTGGGGATTTTCTCTCTCTCTGTCTCTGTCTCTCTCTGCCCCTCCCCTACTCTCTCTCAAAATAAATAAATAAACACTTTTTTTTTTTTTTTTTTTTTAATGGAGCCCTCAGGGAGCCTAGGTGGCTCAGGTCATGATCTCATAGTTCATGAGTTCGAGCCCTGCGTTGGGCTCTGTGCTGACAGCTCAGAGCCTGGAGCCTGCTTCAGATTCTCTGTCTCCCTCTCTCTCTGCTCCTCCTCCACTAGCGCTCTGTCTCTGTCTGTCTCTCAAAAATAAATAAACGTTAAAAAATAAAAATGAATAAAAATAAAAATGGAGCCCTCAAGAACAGAGGGTAGGGAAGCCCTCAGGTGGCACATTCTCTAGTTCTCTCTCGTTTTCTCTCTCTCTCTCTCTCTCTCTCTCTGCCAGAAATAGATTCTGAGCAAGCCTTCTGCTCAGGGTATATGGAAAGGCCAGTGGGAAGCTGGGCAGGGCCCTGGAGAACGGACCATGGATGCCTGGCCCTGGATAAAGCTGAGGGCTTTCAGCCTCGCCTAGGAGTGTGTCAGTTTGCCTGGACCACAGTGGTGTTTATTTTTGCTTTGGTTTCAGCATGAATTTGTTGCCCAATCTGGGAGATTTTGTACAAAAATCCAGATTTCTGAATTCTTCAGATACGAAGCCTGCGAGGCTGGGCCTGACTTCCCTCACGGAGCCTGAGCCCTAGCCCTCCCCAACACCCAACAGGGTCATGGAGGAGGGTCTTTATCATTCAATCTGCGCTGCTGGATCTCAGAGTAGAGATTAAGAAGCAAGTGAAGCATTTCTTGTAGCTTCTCAGCTACCAAGAGCAAAAAAGCAAAAGGAAGGCCAAGTGGGAAGACTGTTTTAGGACCAGTGGCAGTGGTATGTATGTGTCTTCGGAGGAATGTGAATTCGCAATTCATCCATATTTGCACCTCAGTAAAAGCATTTAAGGTGCTGTTTTGAAATACAATCCCACCCACTTCACAGATTTACTTCACCTGCCTGGCTCCCAAAGGCACCTCAAGTCACACATTGACAGAGCCCAGCATAAGGACACAGACTCTAGCATGATGATCTTCAAGCTATAGGTCATGACCTGCTGTGAGTCATAAAATCAATTTAGTGGATCCCTGCCAGCCTTTCTGGCCTTTTCCTTTTTCTTTTTTAACAGCATAGGGTAGAACAGAAAAGAGGGTGTCCTGCAAACAGTAAGGGTACGTATTACGTAAACATTTCTTCCCAGTTTTATATACAGACAAACCCAGTCATGATGTAGAGTCTATTTTTAAATTGTTGGTGGCAGGTTAAAAAAAAAACAAAACAAATACAGTCATCTATCACAGTGCAATAGGGTGAGGTAACTAAAGAAGGACTTGGACTGAAGTCCTGCCTCCCACAGACCGCAGGAAGGTAGAGGCTGAGGTAGAGGGCTGTGGGTTCGGGGTCATCTCCTCACAGACATACTCCTGAGGAAGCAGTGTGACCTGGTCCAGCGTCAGTGCAGGCTGTCCCCGGGGCTGTCGTCGGCTCTGCCCTGGGCTCTTGGTCTCTTACTGCACCCCTGGCCCACGTGCCTTCTTTCCCAGAAGTGGCTACAGGGCGCAGGGGGTTGGGAGCCTGACCACCTTACACAGGTGGAAGGCTCCTCAGTTTTCTTCCCCTCGCCATCTGCCAACACTAACACTAGCTCAGCCTGGCTCTGGGAAAGAGCTAAAGCAGGTTTCAGAGGCGCTGTCTGACAGAGGGGGCCATGGAGCGCCGTGTCACGTGCTTCATCCAGGTCACAGAGCGAGTCAGTCATGAGGCTGCCACAAAGAGCCCCATCTCCTGACCTGCACGCTAAATTCCAAACACACTGGCCCAAGCCTTTTCCAAAGCAGGTGCCCGCTGGTTTTACAGGTGCCCCTACGACGAGGGAAAAAAAACAAACCCTGACCTTGATAGGGAAAAATTATGTTATAAGAGGGCCGACAGGACTGACAGGGAATTCCAGTCCCCGCCTGAAGACTCTCCTTCTGGAT